TGCATTTTGATAATTTCGCGATTCTTTTTCCGAAACTGTCCCTTTACACTTTCACTGCGTAGGTGTGCAAATTCCGTTTTTTTTTTCAAAAAAAAAATGGCATTTTTTTTCTGTTTGCAACCTACTCCTAATTTGAGTTATAACGACCCTTCTTTTCTGATTCTCTGCAGTCCGAGCACCGAAGGTTCACATTTGCTTTCTGCATCACCTTCGGTACTCAGWGGGATTGGACAGACTTTTTCCGAATTTTAAAGTTTCGTTTTTCTTCTTTTTGATTAGGAAACTATTCAAATTGGGCTCTGTCCGATCCTTCCCACTCGTCTACTTCCTACCTATTCCTCCCCCTCCAGTCCGGGTACTGGGCCAGTCCATCAGATTGGCCCTCGGGTGACTCTTCCGACTGCGGGCAYAVCAGTGCATGACACTSCTCACTCGATCACAGACCAAGGCCATGGACCGGAAGGCGGGAGAATCCCTCCTGGCCTATGAGGAACGCCTGGCGGCATTCATTCAGGAGGCCAACGATAGGGCCGCCGCTGCGGCCAAGGAACGTAATCGTCTTGAACAAGAGGAGGAGGCCAAGCGACAGAAGGAGGAACAGGACCGACTTCGTCAAGAAGAGGCAGACCTGCAGGCGGCAGCCGAACACCGGTCACGCCAGCGGGAACGACTGTTTACGCGGGAGACCGTGATCGGCGATGAGGCCGCACATTGGGTGGAAGTGACATCTGCAGACGGGGCCCCGGAGACTGACAAAGGGCTGTCAGCCCTTGCGCAGGTCTCCCACGACCTCGTGGCCACCTGCGCTCTGCAGCAGGAGGAAATCCTTCACCTGCAGCAGACAGTGGACCAGATGCTCRCACGGCTGCAGGCGTTGGAGAAACAGCCAGCTGCTGTAGCATACGCAAGGCCTTCCACCCTTATTCCCCGTGTGCAAGTTTTGGAGGATGACGTCAGCAACATCAAGCGTGTGCATCAGGACTTCCGGACGTCGCAGCAAGCAACGAACTTGCAGTTGGAGACGCAGGTCCAGGCTGCTGCCACCGTGACGCCCGCCGCCGCATCCTCCCGACGCCTACCCAAACTGGATGACATTCCAGTTTTCTGCGATTAGTCCAAGACGGAACCTATCCCGTGGTGGCGCCAGTTTACTCTCAGGCTCGACATGCACTATGTCCCGAACAACGATCGACATCCGTGCTTGTACCACCGATCTGTTGGTGCATGTCAAGCATGGGTGGACAACATCTTGACCAGCCACGGCGTAGCAGTGTCGGAACTGCACACCAAGCTCACTTGGCAGGAGTTGACTGACGCCTGGCACAAGCGATTCCAAGTGGAGCCGCCCGACCTGCAAGCGATGGACAAGCTCAACAAGCTCCATCAGAACACACTGCTCAGTCAGGACTGGATTACCGAGTTCCAAAGACTCGCCTCCACACCTGACCTGCCGCTTGCTTTCCGCGCCATATAGCACTTGTTTATCATGCGCTCGTGTCCAGCTCTGCAAAACGCGCTGACGCAGATTGCAGAGACACTCGACACATCCGACAAGCTTTTCAGCACCATGTCACGGATCATTCTCACGAATATCGAAACCCGCAACGTCGGCCGATCTTCCGCGACGACGAGCGGCACCCAGCCCAAGCCAAAGGTGACTTGCATTACTTCTACCGAGGCTGCAACACCAAACGAGGGTGAAGTGTTGGCAGCTGCTTGGGATGGTGGCCGGCCGCGCAACAACCACGGCCGCGACAAGACGAAGACTCAGTCCACCTCTACACCGAGCACCGGATCAGCCGCCGACGAACCTTGGGCACAATACGGACTCTCGGCGAATTCTTATCGGACGAGACTCCAGTACCGTTACTGCCCTTGGTGCAACAGCACCATCCAAGATGCTGCACATTGCCCCACCAAGGGGAAACCCCGTCAGGGAAAGTAGGCGCCGCCGAGGGTGACTCGACACCTCCCTCGACGCCATCGGAAGCGGTTGTGCGCACGACCGCCCTTTCTTCCCAGGCATATGCGGATGTCAGGAGTCTTTCACTTTCGTTCGAAGACTTCGCTGCCCGGCTCATTCCTTCACTGGATGCTTCTCAAGGACAAGATAAATGTGCGGCTTTCTCACCGTCCGAAGGCTCTTCCGCCAGTTCGTCTTCATCAAGGGATTCGGCAAGCATGTTCAACGAGGAGGCTTTGGACCCGCTCACGCCCGAGGACTTCGCTTGGATTCCTCTCCCTACGACGGGCAACCTTCCGGGGCCGCAAAGCGCAGCCCTATGCGCCCTCTTACACCAGTATCTTTCCTTCCATGCACCACCAACTTTGTCGACGGTAGACGAAGTCGCGGTGGGGGACATGCTTAGCTACGCTGCCAAGGTGGCCCGCGAGTTTGTCTCGCAACGGTACGAAGAAAACAACGCACCGTTGCTCTACGTTCGCATTCAGATTGGGCAGGCGGCCTGCAACGCTTTGCTAGATTGCGGCGCAACTCGCAACTTCATCAGCCAGTCCTTCATGACTCGGGCTGGCCTTGGCGCACAAGTACGGAGGAACTCACATCCGAAGACGGTCGCTCTTGCCGACGGTAAGACGAAACAGCTTTTAGACCGTTACATCTCGGCTGTCCCGGTGTACTTCGCAACGCACGCATGTGAACCCGTCACTTTTGACGTGTTGGACACCAACTTCGATGCCATTTTGGGGAGGCCTTGGCTTTCTAGCGCGGACCACACGGTCAATTTCCATCGACGCACGCTCACGATTCGTGATGCAACTGGCGCCGAGGTCCCGTGTACTATTCCTCCTCCTCGCTCTTCCATTAGGTGCCAAGTAGTGAGCGCCAAATCTTTTCGAGACACATGCCGTTCCGAGCATGTCGAAGAGATTGGCATCGCTTTGCTTCGAACCGTCCCGACGACCGAATCATCATCCACATAGGTGTCTTCCGACCCCCGTGTGACCCGGTTGTTAGACGAGTTCTCGGATGTTTTTGAGACACCCTCCGGTATAGTGTCGGACCGGCCAATCTTTCACGAGATCATACTTGAGGCCGGCGCCGTGCCATCGAAAGGATGCATTTATCGAATGTCAGAGGAGGAGCTCACGGTTCTCCGTGCACAACTCGACGATCTACTCGACAAGGGTTGGATCCGCCCTAGCAGCTCACCTTACGGTGCGCCCGTTCTCTTCGTTCGGAAGAAGAACAAGGACCTTCGACTTTGCATTGACTATCGACGCCTCAACGCGCAA